TTAAGCAATAATAAGGTTATCCATATAGGCAACAGCAAAAAATATGAAAAATCGTGTAACTATATAAATCGAAAGTAGTAAGGAGGCACTCTGTAAAATGAATGCTCTGGGAGATATCACTGCGATCATGCGTGAAAGTAAACTGCTATAGGCAAGGCATGTTTCTGGTCTTGCTGCTATCCGATGGGCATTGTGCTTTGGTGAGCGGAACATGCCAGGAACAAAACCCCACACAACACAAGCTGTGATCAGACGATGGCACTAACTGCACGTTTGCAATTCAGGATCGAAAGGCCTGGAGTAGTTGCTTCAACGTGTGGGAGCATCCTAATAATTTTGTTAACATAGGACACCCGTAATGATAGGCGGCCGCCCTGGTGTTGTTTTACCGCGTTTAGTGGGATAACGAGTGGCGAAAAAAGCCTGACCTTGGTTCCAGTCAAGACTGTGTCTGTAATGTTCAGTGAAGTTATTCAATGAATTGTTTTATCGACAAGTTTTTCAGCAACAAAGTAAATGCATGCGATTAACAAAGTCCGGGAGATCAAAAAAGTGGAGCTTCGAAAACTAAGAATGCCTGGAAGCAGAAATCATACGAATTCAAAATCCGGTCATTTCAGCTGCCGGATTTTACCGTATCCTACTTGTACGCATTTCACGGATCGAGCACCATCCTTTGCTGTTGGGCACGGTCCAAAGATAACGGTGCTGTATTCACTCAACGTTTTTGACTCCTCATCAGCAACAGGATCAGTCTGCAATTCCAAAAATAAAACAATGAAACGAACCACTCAAACTGTTGTATAAAATTGTAATAAGGAAAGGCAAAAAAGAATTGTGGAGCGAAGGACATGTGGCAAAAGATCGGCTATCATGTTCTGGTGGCAAAATTGTACCACTAGGGTGTGCTAGCTGCATAGTTAGAAAACCACGTAGTTAGGTACTATAGGTTCTAACTATTCTAGGGAACAATTGTTTTTCTTGCTCATCTTGACTGTAAACATGTTTTAATTAAAAGAGACTGCGACGCAGATTTGCTCAGTAGAGATCCGTTTGGCAGTTTCTAGATTATTTTGCCCCAACTTCCTAGGAAATTCAAAATCAGAGATCTGCGCTGGAATGAGGTTGACACCTCGTCACTTAACATTTAAGTGTTCCTTCCTTCTCGATAAACAGCAGCATTTTAAAATTCTTCTGATTCGGCTCTATTCTCTGGATCCAAAGAAAGGATCTTGTCCAAAGAAAAGATTCAAAATCGCACTAGCTTAGGAAAAGGTTATTGTCTCTTTATTCAGTAGTTGAATGTTTGTTTCTCCTCAGAAAACAGCAGCATCTGAAATTCTGGCCCATTCGATATCAAACTTTGAAAGTGAAAGTGAGTCTAATCCACGAAATGATTCGAAATCCCTCTGTGATTCGTTGATCCAATTTCAGTAACAGAATGGATCAAAAGCGCCAGGACCGCTTTAACATGTTCTTGAAATAAATCTTGAGAGAAGAGTTCCTGACTAAGTCCTGTGGTACTCCCTCTCTGATATTCGTAGATTGAAAGAATGAAATAATTAATTTTTGAGATAGTTAATTTATGGTACCTGAGTTGCAGCGTCATTTTTTGTTTGTTGCTCTGTTTCTTTAATGTATTCGACTACAGTCTGCAAATTCACTTGTGGTAACAGTACTGCTCAACAGGACAGTTATCACATTGGACATTATCTTTTCGTATATTTCTTCCAAATTTTTCTAATACTCTTCAAACATTATTATGTAATCCTTGCTTATACGCTTGAACAGCACATTTGCAGTATTTTAATTTTAGTTTTACTGATCCTGTCAAGCATCAGTGAATGGTACCGGAGAGAAAATAAACGACCATCCGTGCGGCCCCAGAAAATGTGGCACACACACAACACACACACACACTGAACAGGTGATGGGCACTGACCAGAGACACAACTCAGGATGCAAAGGTAGCTGTGCCCAGCATGTAGGAAGCATTCCAGTAACATCACTAAAAAAGATACAGTGATTATCCGGGCAATACTTAGTTGTGCCCAACAAATGGGAAGACATCACTAATAGAAGATACCCGTCCAAGTAATCTTGATATTCTTGAAAATTTCTCTCGCAATTATTAGCGCCTCAGAATGCTTGTCAAAGCAGGGCTCCCAGTAGTTTTTTATTCGTGAAAACAATCTGTCTATGTCATAATATCGCGCCCTTCAAAATACAGCTAACATCTCTTAGCTGGTCCACAGTGCTCTCCTATTTTTGGAATCGCCAGTTTTGCAGACGTGTTTTCCCTTCGTTTTAAAAAAACTTTCGTATGAAACAACCATCGACAGTACCGCCAGCGAGCGGTGGCTGATAGTGTGTTTTAGCGCCTCGCTGAGAGCAAATATGGAGGGGGTATTGACTTTCGAATTTCAACATATGCAGTGAGTAAAACGAATTAGGAGAGGGGGTGAAGTGACTGAAGAAAGTAAGCGTCAGCTATGAATAAACCAAAATTGCTACTTTTTTCTGAAGCCAGGTTTCAGGTTTTGGCTTCGGCTCCTCTGTTGCCTCGGATGTTGTCGGTGGCGTTTTATCTTCTTCTACAACTGCGTGCCTCTTTGCCCTTGGCGTTGGCGGCGGGGTTGCTGGTGCTGGTGCCACGGTACCTTCAATGGAAAAGTGAAGGGAGTTCATGTGACGAGCAATCCCGAAAAATAAATTATTCCATTGCGATCGATTTTCGACATGTCGCAAAGCGTCGCACAGTTTATGCCGAATCTATAAAGGCACTTCAAATTATCGCCAGATCAGTAGGAACATTTATAGTAGTTTAATTTTCGTGGCTACTGTTGATATTTGCTACCATTTAGGAGGACAGAGAATAGGACAGGGTTTTAACTTTTGACTAGTCTTCGTTATACAGGACCAGCAATGTCGCCGCGGTGAGCTTAGCAGAGCTGTTGCGTGTTGCTCTGATGTGAGTTTTTTTCCAGTAGCGTTAGTGTAATTTTCAGCAAAAAATTTTTGATACTGCTCTTCATTCAGGATTTTCGGAAATGCTTTCCGTTCTGGAAGAAAGCAGAAGCGCCGAAAGAACGAATGGAATGCAGTAGAAAGGAATGGTGAAGGAGAATATAAGCTAACGTGCAGAGATAAGATGTTTCGGTTCATTAACTGTGAGCTTCTAATACCGGCGTAGCAACTGTACTTCGCCAACACAACGGCTACGACGCTAGTTTACGAGGAAAGACGGAAAACATAAAACAATAAAAAAAAAAACAAAAAAAAAAAAAATGGAAATCCTTTTGATTTGCCTTTTTTAACAGAAAAAAAGTCTCTGGCAGTCACTTGATGGAGAAACGGGTCGTCAGAACTGCATGTGTTTTTGGTGTTAAGCCCGGATGTTATTAAGATCTATGTTTACGGTAAGCGTAGATATCTTGGATTCATTTGTTACTAGCCAGTTCTTGCTACTTCCGCTGCTACGTGTGTACGCTATCGTCATGAAGATTACGATAAATTCAGGAAAAAGGGGCGTTAGCGAAACCTCTCCGAGCTCGTTCCAGTTACAGCGTATGTTTATGGTCTGCTGCATTGCGCACAATCGTCCAATGCAGCTTCACAGTGACCTGACAAATTCTACCGCTCAGCGAATCTGATTTTAGTGTAATGACCAATAACGGCTGAGGAGCGGAAGTTAGTTAACACAGACAGCCTCTTGCGAATATGCATTTTTGCATTTGCGTATATGCAAAAACGCATAATAAACAGGCGACAAAAGCACATACTTATCGAATACACTGTAGAAGCGCCGCGACGAGTGTTGCAGGAAGAAGCTAAAGCACAGAGCTAAGACATTTCGGCCCGAGCGTTGTGTTTCAGTGTCGCAACTGAAGCTCGTCACCAGTTCAATCTGAGAGGAGTTACGACTCTTCGTCAAGTGCTTCGGTCACTTTGTTATTCATAGGTACATCATTTAGGTGCTCCATCACCAATCACTTTTCGACGCATAGCAAAGGCACTCCAAAGTATTGCGTGTGGTAGCAAGTCGCCAATAGCGACCTTTCGCTGCTGGCCGAGCTGTCGGTGGCTTCTCGCCCATCATAGGGTCATCATCAAGCTGCAGTTGTGCGATCAGCGATTCAGTCGGAATCATTACACACATAAAGTCGCTTGATATATGCATTTACATATTTACTCGATGTAATAAACACTCGTTCTGCGGCGATTTGTGGGATTGCATAATCCTCGCAACAAACAATAACTCCTGGGACTGGACAGGACACAGGAGGGAGGGAGTGATGGTGTGCGAATGAGGGGACTGTTTTCCTAATCTTTGAATTCCAGCTCTACTACCGCTCCACCTCATTTTGCTATTTTTCCGTTTCCTGTATCTGCCATCTACCTTATGTTTGTGTATTGTGTGTACACATTTGTATGTACATTTCTATGTATGTGTGTATGTATATTTTTATTTACGTGTGTAAGTATGTATGTATGTATGTATGTATTCGTCTACATATATACATATAAACACATACACACAACATACATACACATATATACATATATATATATATAT